GCGTCACCCTCACTGTGGCTCTCTTCTTGCCTCAGGAGCTGCAGCAGCTGAGGGAGGTGGGAGGGTAAGCTCACCATGCGCATGAAGCACTGGACTCAGCCATCCTCCAGCCCTGCTTCTCTGGCTGCACCCTCTGCCAACCACAGGCCCGGCTAGGCCTCTAGGTCTCTGGACCTTTGTTCTCCTCTTCTTTCTCCTTTAGGCTGTGCCACATGCCGCCTGAGGAGAAGTGATTCACATCATGTGAAGAGGGAAGGAGACAGAGCTGAGGCTGAGCTCAGCTGACTATTCGTACCTTGTTCCAGGCACATTTTGTCAATTTCCAGTCCAACTGGAGATTGACAAAATGTGGCCTGGAATGAGGCAGAAATTCAGGATTGGAAGGTCTAAATTGCCCATTTGGGCTGGGACATTTTTTAGACCCTCCAATCTCAGATTGTCCCAGTTTTCCAGGATGTATGGCAACCCTAGTTATGTTGGAGGACAGAGAATGCAAAAATGACATGGTGTGTGTATGTGCGTGTTGCATATGGCTCATGGGGTGGTGATTGCATGGTTCTCATTCCTGTCTTACCCCCTTTGTAGATGGCGCTTTGCGCCGTCTTGGAGGCAAGGAAGGAGAGGGGCAGCCTCACGCTGTGTGCCCCAACCCCTTCCTGAGGATGTCTTCAGAGTACCCGTCATTGCACACGATGGGCACTCCGATGATGTCCTTCTGGCTCAGCATCCAGACACGCTGAGCCAGAAGAGATGCCGAAGAGGTGCGCGCCACCTCTTGCAGTGCCCTTTCTGTGCCTTGCGCAAGGACCGCTATTTTAGCACTCCTTCCAGGGCCAGAAAAGAGTGGATTGGGGCCAAGGAGTGCAGCAGCCTCGGCCCCAATCCACGGCTTTTCGGGATGGCCCATGGACGCCCGTCAGCAGAGGCCCTACGACAATGTTCAGCTAGATGAATTGCCTGACTCAGTATAAGGCAGCTCTTTCTGTCTATTTTGTTTCCGTAATTTTCTAATGCCTTATGCACACCCGACGCCATAGTATAAATGAGAATAATAGCATTGATTCTTGAGAGATTTCCTGTCACCTCAAGGCTGTAGCCAGAGTGAAAGTTTACACAAAATGCAAAACAGGAAAGAAGAACAGGAGGTTTCCTTGCACAAAACCACAAGTAATGCTGGTGAGTATTTTATGTTCAAGGTTAATGGTCCAGCAAGGTGGTCAGAGAATGAAGTGGATGTTTGACTATCAAAATGGCAATATGTCATGGGGTAGGAGGAAAGGAAAAAGCAGATAATCCAGTGAATAATGGCAATTGAGACAAACTGTGGATGAAGAAGCAAAGGCTTTCCTTCCTACAAAAGAGACAAATCTTTTAAAAAAAGCTAATAAATACATGACAAGGATAGCTCCTCTGGCATTGATAAATGGTGACAAGTCTTTCTGGATACATGAGAGAGCTGTCCAACATATGGAATTAAAGTTGTGAGGTTCAGTGCATGTATAACCTGACTGTGAACAATAAAGAGAAAGCCAAGATTAAGAGGGGAATAAGGCCTTTGAATGTTATTCCTTGGGAAGTCATGCTAGTGTGTGTGTGTGTGTGTGTGTATACATACACATGCACACATATACTATTGATTTGCTAGTGGAAAGAAAATAGCTCCAGTTTAACTAAGGAGTATTAAAAACGGGGGAACAATGCACATAATTGAGGGATGAGGGAAATGCTCTTTTAATAGCCATTTTGTCTGGGGGGAGAAATCGTTAAAGCTACTTTTAAAACATGTTCTTGTAAGCTTCATTGATGTCTGGTTTGGAAGAATAGGAGGTGGAGAACAAAGAAGAGCACCAGTCTGAAATTTGACAGAGTACAATGAGGGGGAAAATGGGGAAAGTGATATAATGCAGTGAGAGAAAAAGAAAGTCTTAGATCATTCAAAGTATAATAGATGAGAAGGATAGGTTGATGTGAATAAATATAAAGCAGTTGTTTAATCTTTTCTGCACTTGCTGGCATACATGTCAGTGAAAATAGTGGAAAGGTCCAGCAAAAGTTGGAAAAAGTGGCTTTAAGGAAGGAAAGGGGAAATTCTGTTTGGTTCTCATTTTAAAGCAAACCGGCCCAATATTACATCTTTAATGTTTAAATTAGAACAGCTATTTTAGACTGGGCACCTTTTGAATTTTTCCAGTGCAGCTCTTTGTTCAAAATGTGTATTAAAGAATACTACGTTTGTGCACCTGATTCACGGCCCACAATGAATCAAACTGATTCAGACCTATGTGGACCAGATACAGATTAGATTAGACTGGCCTGATTCATTTCTGAAGTGAATGAACATGGTCTGAAATGATTTGGACTAATTTAAAGATTTGTTTTTATTTATTTAATTTCTGCCTTTCTCCCAGAAACAGACGCAAGGTGGCTCACAGATAAAATCAGTTAAAACTTTATAATAAAAAAATTTAACAATTAAAATCATCCAGCTAAAACAGTATAAAATTATATAAAACCTTCAAAAGTAAAAATAAATAAATAACTAGAGCAAACACCATATATAAAAGCTTCCTTGACATAATTATATATTAAAAACTTGCTTGTATCATAAAAATAGGCCAGACAAATGAGACTTTTTTACCATACATCAAAGGAGTCAAGGACAGATTAGGAAAACTGATGAGGAAACACAACCTCCAAATGATCTACAGACTGACCAAGAAAATCCAGCAAATGCTGCGCTCAGTGAAGGACGGGAGAGACCCTCTCATGGATGCAGGAGTTTACCACATACCATGCAGCTGTAGACAAGTCTACATAGGGACTACTAAACACAGCGTTCAAACATGAATCAAGGAACATGAGAGACATGCAGACTGGGCCAGCTAGAAAAATCAGCAGTAGCAGTAGTTATAAACCAACCTGGGCATAAAATGTTATTTGAAAACACTGAAATTTTGGACCATGCCAACAACTAACAGGTCAGAATTTGCAGGGAAGTGATTGAAATCCATAAACACCTGGACTTCAACAGGAAAGAAGAAACCCTGAAAGTAAACGCCTTTGCAGACTGCCAGAAATAGTGCAAACTGAGTCCACTTTAATTG